AACGATGAACATAGAATCCCCTTCTGCTGGAGAGAGAGAGAGAGAGAGAGACACTGTCACGGCGAGCTCCAGCTGGTCTTTCTCCCATTGCTTGCCCCGAAGAAGGCCTCCTGTGCACTCTTTCAAGCCGCCTTATTGCAGTGCCGGCTCATGGAACATCAAAGACCAGCCTTTGCCGCAGCTATGCGAATGTGGTAGGGAGGCTGAATTTCAACCACGCTCCTGAAATTTCCCGTCTGAAAAGCAAAACTTCCCAGGCACCCTCCAGGGTTAGCAGCAGCCATGCTATGCGCAGACTGCTCACTGCACTTGGGAGAGATCAATCAAAGCTGAGTGCGTTCTCAGAACTTGAGGCCAAAACTGTCCTCAAACAAGGAATGAACTCTGGAGAGCATCCGTTCTCCAACAAGAGCCGATCCAACTCTCAAGTTATACAAGAGTACAGGACTTAAGTAAGATGAAAAGCTCGCCTCAAGAGAAAGCACTTTGCCAAGAAAATCCCTGCGCATGAATAAACTCCGGAGTTCAAACCCTTGTGATTTGACAAAGAAAACAAGAAAGTCTAAACTGGCAAGCAAAAGCCAACGCATGAGAAAAGGACTATACTCCAGAGATTAAAGAACTTCACACCATATGATAAGAAAGGTTGAACTGTACGTACAGTTCATCTCGGAAGGCACGCTTAGACTCTGGAACTTGCGGGAGACCCTCCTGAGGTCTGAACCCCTGACATTTTCTGCAGGAGACGCAGAACCCGTTCATAACGGAGAAGATGCGGAAGCCAAGATATTCTAGAATTCTAGAACATGTAAATTTGAATGCTTAAAAATGCTACAAGTAACTGGATTAAACGTCGTGTTAAACAGTGCAAGAAAACTTGGGAAAGCTTGGCTGATGAAAGCTTTGAACCGCACCTGCCATCCTCATCTCTGTAGCGGAGATCAAGACGTGGAACATCGTGGATGGCTGCGACACGAAGTCCAGGAAACCGTTGCATGGCATCCTGGAAATCATGAAAGTACGTCGGGTCACTAGTAGCTTCTTGCTCCTAGTAGTAGTGAGCTTCCTTGAAGAAGCGCGAGCTATCCTGCGTCCGTATGTAGTAGCTTACTTGCAGGTACTAGCTACCTAGCTTCTACCAGCTACTTACCTCTAGCTACTACCTTCCTCACCTCTACTAGCGGCCTACGGTGGACACGGTTAGAGCCGCTCCTCTGCCATCCTTACGGCCACACGTCCCTTGGGACCATCCAAAAGTAAGGCCACAGACACATTGAGGGCGCCTGCTGAGTGTAAAGCCTGCGCTGCTGGGTCTAGATATGTCTAGATCCCACCGGTCCGTGACAGATCAAAAAGCTTCTAAGGACTGAAGGCGGCATAAGACTGAGATCTGGCGCTTTCACGAACTTCGCCAAGAGACCCAGTCAAGAGCTGCAAAAGCATCACCTGCTCTCCTTAGTTCAGCTTGAACAGTTTCACGTCAGTGATGTGTGGTAGCCAAACCTAAGGACAAGCATGACCTTCAAAACGCCGTAGAACAAGCGGCAGTCTATATACTGAAACTCGATGGATTCTGGACCATGGTCAAACAGTCGGACGGCTGCAAATTGTGCTCGTTTACAGCGAACAAAAAGTTGGCCATGGCCATGTCCTATAAATAAAGCAGCATAAAGTGTTATATAGTCCTCGTTCAGAGATGAGACGCCTTGACCTGAACTGGACTGTTCGTGATACTGTATACACTCGGTACATCTTCGTACTCTGTCTGGGTCCTGCTCTGTCCAGTTCTATCCCTTGTTCCTGCTCGTGGTTGTTTGCTTTCTCTGCACTACTCCAACACCACTGACTCTCACTTTCTTTCAGGTAGTATTTAGCAGTTACTTGCAAAATTCTTTGTGTCGTGATGACTCAGCTCGTCCGGAAGTACACCATGTGAAGTGTCTCAAGTTGGTACATGCTTCGACCCACGTACAGAAGCCAAAGCTCATCTCAAGCACACCTTGGCAGGCTGGAGCTAAATCTCTGGCCACGGAGTCCTTGAGAGCCCGTTCCAAAGACAGCACCCGCCTGCCACAGGTTGCAATCCATCATCCAAGCACTCCAAGCAATCGCAACACGACTGCACCGGTGACACACCGGGTGACTTTGATCCAAGAACTGCGACGAGCCTGCCCGGTACCGCTTTGGCCCAAGCACAGGCAGCACGAGTGGAGCCACCATGGCCAACGCCAGACTCCACAATGACTTGTACACCTAGCAGTGCCGAGCTAGCAAAGATCACAGAGCTGCCCACTTAGATTGTTTTCGATATGCCCTGCCTGCCCATGTTTGTGAGCATACACCCAAAAAAAGTTGATCAAAGGAGCACATACGGCCACATACACCAAATTAATCCAAGTGTGCCATATTGATGTCAAAACATGTCGAAACAAATCAAAGTATTCAAAAGATTGGGTTTAAAAGGCACACAAAATCATACGGTCAAGACGGTTCGCTGGAGTTCATATATTAAATATGTTTATCTTTTTTGTCAACAGTACTTTCCTGCCCAAATACTGCATTTGGCAAGCAATAATCATCCGGATATTCTGAGGTTTGAAGCTTCGGCTCTTTGCAGGATAGAACAAAACACATTTAGATATTTTGATAATTTTTGATAATTTTATATTTAGCCTTTAGGCTCTGCTCGTTCACTCCTCACTGATCACCCCACCATCCGATCTCATCTCTCCGATTTCGGCCTTGGAGATCCGCCAGGCAGTGGAGGAGAAACGCCTCTGACGGCAACACCGAGCCCGGCAGCCTCCGCAGGGCGAAGCCCCGTCGCGCGGCCTCCGGCCGCTGCGCCTCGAGCACGGCACGGAGCTCGTCCCGGAGTCGTGCCTCGGGTGGGCTGTTGGCATGTGGAAGAAAACATAGGTTCCAAAAAACAACACATTGTATGTTTTAAAATGATGAAGTGACGAAAGCACTGAACATGAAATTCATCAGTACTCCTTGTAGTTTTGTTGCTGCTATACTTCTCACGAATCCCAAGAATGGGCGTTGGATGTTAACTTGTCAATGCGATGGGTGTTTCGAGTGATTCCATGTGTGTCACATATACACACGCTTGATGCATCTTGCCATGGCCAAGGCTCTGTGGACTGAAGGGAATGTCGAAACGGGGAGGGACCCACCACATTTCTCATCGGCTGTGTAAAAATGGCCATCTCCAATAGTGACATCGACTCGCACATTGGCCACGTGGACGACAGAAATGCAAGCAGCCCTGGCTGTCGAGGGCCCCGTGAAGGTCCTTAAAACTCCCCGCAGGTCAAGAGCATTTGAATGCTTTCAACCCACAGCTCTTCTGCAAAGCGCTTCTAACTCTTCTACACTAGAAGGCTTGAAAACCGTGGTTTGCACACTAGTTCTCCCGAAAATTCACCTGCCAACCGGCTCAGTAGCGCCAAGCAGCGTGTCTTGGAGGTGAGTTGTCTCAAGACCACATCCAAATATTTGAGGTACTGGCGTTGGGCGCGCGCCTCGTCACCGCAATCCGACGTCCTTCCCACGAGTCGATCCCGTCGGCGCTGGCGACAGCTTCAGGCCTGCAACGCTGCTGCTCTGGCTGCACTGGCTGCCGGCATGCCAGCCCCTGAAGAGAAATTGCCACTGACATCGCGGTGTTGAAACACACCGGAGCGACAAGACTGCAACGTCACTTGATGAAAACGTCGACTTGATGAAACTCTCATAAAAAGTTGCACTTGGCACTTGATTGTCTCCAAACAATCATCAGGATGGCATTGGAATCAATATACGCAATTGCAGCCAAACATTCAGAATACAAAATTGGCAAGGCTTGGAATCTACCTTGGAAAACCATGCAAGGAACTTCTAGATCTGGGTGCCCCAGTGGCACACTAACGGCACTAGTGACCCACCACGAAGCTTTGCTACGGCTTACCTGCAAGAGGTGCGCGAGGAGGACGCCTCTTACCTGGCAGCCAGGTGCTTGAGCAGCGCAGTGGCAATGCACCCAAAAGCTCAGGTTCAGGTGGAGGGGGACCCACCTGCACAGCACGGCGCAAAACGGATAGTCAAGCGAAGTCACTTGAGAGAAAGCTGGTATGCGCACTACAAACGTGCGACGAGGCCCAAAGAACTGATGGTTGCTAGAAGATGGAGGCAATGCCAAATTACAAGTGAGTTCGAATAAAAACACGCCGGCATAGACCCCAGATAGCGGGTGTACAGGGGAAAAACTCATAGTGTCTGAGGGATAAAAATCCCAATGTTTCTCTTATCAATGAGCGGTGCCAAGGGCATCGTTCACCTTGCCAGGGATGGCATCATGCCATGCCAGGGATGACACCTGTCAGGGCAGGGACGACATCCACTGCCTGACACATTGATGCATCGTTTCCTTTTGTGGTGGCATGGTGTCATGCCAGGGGGATGACCTAATGCCATGCCAGGGATGACATCAAGTCATGCCAGGAACACTAGCACGCCCACACAAAACGCTGATCCAGCAGCAGCAGCACACACACCAGCACCAGCACCCGCCAGCACGCCCCAAGAAAACACCCAGCGCCAGCACCAGCACCTGCACCAGCGCCAGCACGCCAAGCAAACCCCAATCCAGCACCAGCACCCGTGCCACCCGCACGCCTCAAGCAAACGAAAAACGCCGATCCAGCACCAGCACCAGCACCAGCACGGGCAAAACGAAACGCCAATCCAGAGCCACACCATTCAGAAGTAAGAGCCCCTATAGCTTGCAGCTATCTGGGGGAAAAAACATGTGTGTATATATATATATACATACCATATATGTATTTAATATCGCCGACCTTGGGGCGGCGCCCGGGACCTGCAGGGTGGAACCTTCATCCTTGCCCAGCCACTCTTTTGAAGCTGCCTTTGCCACCCAAATGGGCCAAGGCTCTAGCGACACCGGCGTCTCGGACCTTTGCATGGGCCCCTGCCAGATGTCTTACAATGGATTTTGAAGCTGTGGCCTTGCAAACCTCTTTTCATGGGTTTCGATATTGCTGCTGCGGCACCCTTTCTGGCCACTTTTGCACACAAAGCAACATTGGCTAAGGCTTGAGAACCAGTGTTCAACCCTTCACACACAAACCTTCTGATGCGACTCACAGCACAAGGGCATGCAGCTGGCAAAGCATCCGACCAGGAGCCACAGCATGGGCCCCTGATATCCGCCGACCGCCGACCCCGCCGCCAGTTAATATATATATATATATTGCTATTAGATTGCGGAAGGTGAGAATTCCGACTTGGAGGCGTTCAGTCATAGTCCACCGACTGTCTGAAGAAAGTGTTCCTCTCACGCTGACTTCGATTACTGTCGCCGCATCTGTTTCATCAGTCGAGTTTCACTAACCTGTCTCATGACGATCTATGCCCAGCTCACTTTCCCTGATTCGCATGAACACTAGAGCCAACATCAAAGGGTTCAAAGCCCACGTCGCCATATGCACACTTGGCTGCCGCAAGCCAGTTATTAACTTGTCTGACGCCTGTAGCTAGTAACAAAGGGCATCGCTACTAGGAGCAAGGACGCTACTAGTAGCTCCTGGCCTTACTACTAGGAACAAAAAGCTACTAGGAGCAAGGGCATCGCTACTAGTAACAAAGGGCAGCGGCATTACTACTAGTGGCATTCCTACTACTAGGAAAAAGAAGCTACAAGTAACGCTGCATATTGCTCAGACCTAAAGGATCGATAGGCCACGTTTTCGGTCATTGAAACAGCGGGATACAGCGGGCACCAGGCGTTAGTTGCGTTAGCGTTAGCCCATTCTGTAGTTGAAGAAACCAAAGCTGTAAATAAAGCTCTTTCCATGCTCTTCCTTTTTAGACAGTGGTTGATTCCTCCAACATGCCAACATGCCAAACCCCTGGCCTTCGCGGGGGAACGCCACGCTGCCTCCACCCGCTTGCCCCAAGCGTCGTAAGCACCTCTGCCCAAGCGGCCGCCACGGTCGGCCTCCGGGAGCCCGCGGCGTAGCAAGGCCAAGAGAGAAAAGAGAGGCCATCCAGACTCCAGAATACCCGTGACGCGGCAACTTTGTACCACTTCAGCCACTTCAGCGAGCAGAGCTGTGCCACTCTCCTTGGGGAAAGCGAAGAGTGAAGAATAAGTCACAATGACTCGCCACTGTCTCGAAAAGATCCTTCTCCGAGTGTTGTGTCCAATGGCCCAAGGACGCTACTGGGAACAAGTGCATCGCTACTGGAAACAAGGGCCTTACTAGTAACAACAATGTTTGCTAATAGAAACAAGAAGAAGCTATAGACTTTAATTAGAATTAAGTGTAATTAAAAGCTGAATCTGTGGCATCCTCGAGAGCCAAAAGCCGGTCTTCAGCGCTCATCCCGCAGAGGAGAAAAAGCCGCAGGACAAGCTGAGCAAGCTGGCATGAGGGGTACTGCATTAGAGGCCTTGGACCCAAGGTCTGGAGAAACATATCCGAAGAAAGACAACCTACATGCAATGGCCTGCAACCTAATAGCGATGGCCCGCAACCTAATAGCGATGGCCTCCAACCTAATAGCGATGGTCTCCGAAAGACTGCCAAAAGTTGCTGAAATCTCCAAAAGCCCTCCAAGACATCGAACATCTAGGGGCCACACTGCAGTGCCCCTGCAAGGGCGTGCTCTGCAGCTGGCATCACGTCCTACATGAACAGTTGCAATACCGCAACCAGCCAAACACACAGCATGTGTGGAAACAACTGAATTCTGAAACAAAAGGGATGCCAAAGGTGGATGCTTTCAAACTGACAACCAGTACAAAACACCACAACTGAACTTCAAAAATTGCAGTGAGGATCCCCTTTTTGGTCACAGAAAATATCAGAAACATGCTTCTGTTGGGGCCTTTCTTTCCCCCAAACCGGTCCGCCATGAAACCCACCAGTCGGTGTTCCGGTCTGGGCCGGGTCTGGCCGAATTGGGGTCCTGTGGTCTGATCTCCAATTCGGCCAATCCAGGCCAAAACGACCAAACGCGCAGGGCCCACGTGACCTGCTGGAACTTCAAAGGACGGCAAAGAGTGGAGATTCTCAATGATTCTTGCAACAATTATGCCAACATAGACCCCAAACAGTGTTCGCATCATTTGTTGGGGTTCTGTATTGGGAATTGCATGTAAGCAAAAAGTATTGGAAAACAAAAGTTCCTGATGCCCGATGTAACATGTGCAAGCACGAAGGGATATATGTCATGAGAAAATCCGTTGCGTTCATAGCCCCACGAAAGCATACCCGGACAATGTGGTCGAGAAAGGGAAAGCGGCATGGCCAAGCAGGGTATAAGGCCGACAAGGCGGCGATAAAAGAACCGACAACGTGGACAAAATGGACAGACCCGGACAAGGCCTGGACAAAGCCCTCACAAGGCGCCCTCACACAAGGCACAGGGTTCGCCAGCGCGGCCAAAGGACAGCAGGAGGACACCAGCAGGACAAGAGGAGGACAGCAGGAGGACACAGGGTTTGCCAGCGCAGCAAGACAGCAGGGGACACCAAGACGACAAGAGGAGGACACAGGGTTTGCGAGCGAAGAGGACAACAGGGTCAAGGGCGCAGCCAGAGACTGGGGCCGTCCATTTTCCTAAGAGAGAACCCCAACAGTAAACTGTTTGGAGAAGAGGACAAGGTCTGGACAAGAAGAGGACAAGGTCTGGAGACCGGCTGGCAGCCGCGGCCAAGCTTGTGTCAACAAGAGGACAACAGGAGGACAAGAAGAAGAGGACAAGAAGAGGTCAAGAATATTTCAAGAGGAAGGAAGACAAGAGGAGGACAGGGGGCGACAAGAAAACGACGTTTAAGAGGAGGAAAAGAGATAAAACAGGACACCAGGAGGACAGGGTCTGGAGGCTGGGCTGGCAGCACCCCAACAGTAAACTGTTTGAGGAAAAATATGGAGTCCATATGGAGTGTTTCGAGATTGTCATTTCCTGTCGCAGCTCACTACCAAATGTGGCTTCAGAGTTCTTCATCATTCACTTCTCAGATTTGCACATGAAGGGCCTTGGGCCACTCCTCCAGGGCTTGGCAACTTCCACAATTGGCCGCGACCGGAAGTGCCATCGGCCACAGGAGGAAGCCAAACATCGAGGTCAAGGAAACTAAAGTAACTAAAGATTTGGGCACGGAAAGGAGACGTCATGGGTGGAGGCCATCGCTACTAGGTTGGAGGCCATCGCTATTAGGTGCCTTTTGCCTTTTTTTCGAAAATGTTTTTTTAATACACGTGTCTGGACCGATACACCTGGTGTTGTCGGCATTGGGAGGGTTCCGGATTCCATCATGCATGTCCCATTGGAAGAAGCTAAGCTTTGCTAGAAATGTTGTTCCCAAAACCCTCAGAACGCCGTGCATTGAGGCCATAAACCATGACTATGCCTATGCACATGTGATGTCTGTGTATTTCAGTGGGTGGCTCGCTGAGGCAGAGTTGAACCGGACGTTCAAGAGCACATCACGGCACATCATGGCGCATGGCGAGGATGAACACGCCAAGGTGAGAGGGTCGAATAGCGTACGCTGATGGTCGAATAGCGATTCCTTAGACAGGTCACACCGATCTGCAGGATGTGAGATGGTCGGATTTGC